TCGCTCACTACTCCTTTGAAAACACCAGTTCAGACCATGATGATGGATGACGAGGAATTGGCCGACGAACAGGGTAGCGAGGGAGAATCAACGAATGATGAAGATGAAGGTGGCTGCTACGCTAGCTATTGTTTTGTTGTTCTGAAGAGTAGGAGGAGGGGATATCAGGAGGTTCTATTCGATGTACCGCGGGTGAACGTGACGTCCGTAGTAACTGCTTTTCTCTACGTGTTGGGAAGACTTGCGGGTTTTTTTTGAAGTCCAGCTGCTTGTTCGATTTTATGGTGTCTATGTTCAGATATGGACGACGGTGAAGCAGCTGGTGAGTCAGAATCTGAAAGCCTAGAAGATGAAGAGGTGTGTCAGAATTGGAAGGCTTCTTCTTCTGGATAGACAATTTTATTTTAAGGGAGTCGACCCTGAAGCGCTTAATCGTCTAGAGAGTGCTCTAGGAAAGGCGGCTGTCAAGAGGAAAGGCGATGCGATTGATGAGGAGGAGGTCAGTCGATAATACGGTGATGTAGTCGACTATTCTCATGCTCTTATTATCATACCAGTAAGGGGTGATTCGTATGCAAAAATCAGTTGGGAAAAACGGAATTCTCATTTCCTGAACACGAGTAGCACCTGAAGTTCAAGTAGTGGGAACTGGGAGGAACTGGAAATACTTGAGGCTTGTTTTAAATATTTTGAGCTTCTTATTTCTTGTATTGCATTCCGGTTAGTCTAGCGATGAAGGCATGTTCCGCGAGAGGCCAGGTGTGGGTTGCTGCCCTCGATAGCGCAAGTATTTGTGGTGAGGAATCCAATAGTAATGAAGCAGGCACGTGGGATTGCCAGGAACTTCTAAATAGATAGTTTGATTCAACTTGTTTCTATTATAAACATAACAACTTCATTCTAAAATCCATTGCACGCCGATCGTCTGGGCAGAATTTGCGGTCTTCTCATTGACCCCTTTCCTTTACCGTATTCTTCTGTATCAGGAAGAGCCAACCAATGAGAAGGTTGCAATGCCTGCCCACACCATCAGCGCGCCATTCGATGAGTTCTCAGTATTTTCGTTCATTCTCTTATTATTCGTGCAATAATCTTGTTCACTATGTCCAATGCAATATTTCCATGTAGAGTATCAGAGTCGCGAGATAGATGGGGAACTTGTTTTCAAACAGTGAAATGGGTTGAGGGCCGATTTTAGTCTTTTTTGTCAGTTTTTTCTCAGTTTCATACCTTCTCTCACGAGCTAGGGTTTCTGAATGCCCAAACTTCGATCTTCGGTGTTCTGCCGTCGAAATAGGCCTTTCAAAGTTCACCTTAATCAATAACAACGGCTTGTTTCTATGGAACGAGCCTTTCCAAAATTCACATTTTTGTTCTCATATTTAAAATTTGTTCGGCTGATTTTAAGTGGAAACCCTTGATTGATATTTTCCTTTGAATTACCGTGATTTTAGTCGGACGCTTCTGACGTTGATGACGCTGAAATGTTCGCATTGGATGATCGGCTTGCAGCTGCGTTCAAGGCTATGGCTCCTAAGAAGAGCGAGAAGTGAGGGTTTCTTATTACCAGATCCACCGGATGTAAGAGGATACGATCATTTTCTAGCAAAATGGCTACTCAGCTGGCATCTGCGTTCCGGTTGAAACTGGCGGACTTACTTCTCTTCACAATCTCATCACAGGATACCCCAGCAAGCATCAAAATAGTCAGTTGTGTGGTGGTTAATAGTAATAGTCTTTGTGGTGGTTTTTCTTTGCCCTGGGTAGCTCTTTGGACAAGTGAAGTAATTTTATCCTGAATTCAGCATATGATTGTACCACTGCTCAAACTTGCAAAACTTCAATTGAAGCAGGACACAGAAGGTCTGAATTCGAGGAAAACAATTAGTCTTCTGAACATATTGTCACGGTTGAAGAAGGTAAGCATTTCATAGTTTTGTTTTAGTCAAAGAATATTTTCTTTACTTGCTTTGTTTATTTCTAGAGATCCAGGGTAAGCCAGAAAGGAAGATGGGCTAGATTGTTTTTTTGCTACTGTCACAGACATGCAGTAACCCTATAAGAATAGTTATGAACATTTCTGAACAATAGGCGAAATTAGGATTTGATTACATAATCGCCTCATTTTTCTATAGGAAAGAGACAAATGCAGCTTTGTGACACGCTGGCTTGTTTAACACCACTCGGTCCCGTTCCTTGAAAAGGGAGACCAATGGGTCCAATCACTGATAGGCTCAATCGGCATTGTATTCAGCCATGTCAGAGATACAGCTGATCAATGGGATTTGGTACTGAGAGGGTACAAGCGCGGAGTTTAAGGGTTCTAGCAGTTTTCTTTCTTTGTTTCATTACTGGGTTGCCAATTATCACAACTATGTTCATTTTCATAACCAATTACCGCTACCTGTTCAGTAGCTGAATGTGCGTTTAGTTCTTCTACTTGTTTGTGATATTCAGATCGAGGTCGCTGATAAGCAGGTAATCAGCTTGCTGAACAAACTGATTGCCGAAGGTTCTGGCATCTCTAATCCGACTTTCATCTCGACCGTTGCTGCTTTGTGCTCATTCATCGTAAGTTTAAATTGTTTGGTACTAGCTGCATTCGATATCGGATCCTTCCTAATGTCCGCAAACGCGCGATTTCCCTTAGGATTTTTCATACCTACGCGCTTCTATAATCCTACTTACTATAAAGCGCTTCGTCTGTCGTTCTGTTCTGTCCCTCTGTCTGTCGTTCTGTCGTCGTTCTGTATGTCTGTCACGAAATTCCCTAGCTCCTCGGGATCCGCCTGGAGGGACCGGGTCAAGTGTGGGATGGGTGGGCAGGGTCTCACGTAATACAAAACACACATCAGCTAAGCGGAGCCCCGCCCACAGAGGGCGTGGCGTGCGTCGAAATGAATTGTACCAAAGACCAAGATTTCGATTTCAGTGAAAAAACGACCTCGAAACTGGGCCAAAAAGTGGGCTAAGGTGTGCATTGGTAAGTAACATCGAATTAGGGAGACCCACCCCCGGTGGGCGGGGCGTTCTCTAAAAAAGCAGTGCTTTATGAAAAATTTCATAACTCGGTTGGGAGAAAGCCTACAGAGCAGAAAACAATTTGGTGTAAGGGAGCAATGTCTAAGGTGTTTCCTGCATACATGACGTGGGCGGAGGCCGCCCAGAATGGGCGGGGCGCGCTCTGAAGTGTACAGCATTTTCTACAAGCCCTCATAATTCGGGTCGGGGAAGTCTTAAAGAGCCGGAAAAAGGTGGATAGAGGTGTATGGAGGAGTGGAGGCCAGCTGTCAATGGTGGGCGGGGCTTGACCAAAGTGGGCGGAGTTTGCGACGAAAATTTATAACTCGGCTCCATGAAGCTCCGGAGGCTGGGGAAAAGGTGGATAGAGGTGGGTGGAGGAGTGGAGGTTAACTGTCATTGGTGGGCGGGGCTTGACCAAAGTGGGCGGAGTTTGCGACGAAAATTCATAACTCGGCTCCAAGAAGTCCCGGAGGCGGGAAAAAGGTGGATAGAGGTGGGTGGAGGAGTGGAGGTTAACTGTCATTGGTGGGCGGGGCCTTGACCAAAGTGGGCGGAGTTTGCGACGAAAAAAATATAACTCGGCTCCAAGAAGTCCCGGAGGCTGGGGAAAAGGTGGATGGAGGTGGGTGGAGGAGTGGAGGCCAGCTGTCATCGGTGGGCGGGAGCTTGACCAAAGTGGGCGGAGTTTGCGACGAAAATTCAGAACTCTGTTCCAGAAGGTCCCGGAGAGTGGGGAAAAAAGAAGATATAGTTGGGTGGGAAAGTGGAGGTCAAAGGCCAGTGGTAGGCGGGGCTTGGCCAAAGTGGGCGGAGTTTGCGACGAAAATTCATGACTTGGCTCCAAGAAGTCCCTGAGGCCGCGGAAAAGGTGGATGGAGGTGGGTGGAGGAGTGGAGGCCAGCTGTCAATGGTGGGAGGGGACATGACCAAAGTGGGCGGAGTTTGCGACGAAAATTCATAACTCGGCCCCAAGAAGTCCAGGAGGCTGGGAAAAAGGGAGTAGAGGTCGGCGAAGGAAAGGAGGTCAAATGCTATTAGTGGGTAGAGCACGCACCCAAGTGGGCGGAGTTTGCCAAAAGTATCGCAATTCGGTTGCAAGAGGTCCTAGAGATAGGGGAAAACGGGGTTAGAGGTTGGTGAGGGAAAAGAGCTCAACTGCTATCACTGGGTAGAGCACGCACCTAAGTGGGCGGAGTTTGCCAAAAGTGTCGTAATTTGGTTCCAAGAGGTCCCAGAGACCGGTGAAAAAGGGGGTAGAGGTCGGCGAAAAGAAGGGAGCCAAATGCTATTGGTCGGCAGGGCACGCACCGAAGTAGACGGAGTTCGCCACGAGATTTATTGTCCGGGCCGAGGACCGAGAAAAATAGGATAATGGTTGACGAAGAAAGAGCGCATAGAATTTAGCGGAGAATTCAGATATTCGTATTGTATCAAGCCAAATTTGAAATTTTTCGTCGCACCATCAAAATTCGCCACAGATCTGTGTTGCGCGCGCAATGCGTGCGGCGCCAACTGGTATTATTATAGGACAACCGACTTTCTTTCGAGGTCGCTTCAGTTTTGAGTTTCAAAAAGAACCTGCAACAGCGTGATCCGATATTGAATCACGGCAACTGCGCTTGCAAAATCACTTTCTGCCTATGCGGCATAAAACCTGGAACACCGCTTTACGTAGATTTTTCGAAAGACGAACACAGGCAAAGGCTCGCAGGGGGCGTAATTTGGGTTAGCAGGCGACAGCGACCCTATATGTTAAATTGATGCTGAAGAAATGTCAATCTGTGGCAAATGTTAAGCACTAACCATAAGAGCCACTGGCAAACGGTGCTGTCTTAAAGTAAACGTTAGCGGAATAGATAAGAGCTAGGAAGTGATTGTACGTGACTCGCAGCGACCAGCAGCGTCAGGGTAACGGTAAGCACTGGGCGCAGTACGCTAGGAAGTTAGTATAGAACCCACTGACAGGATTGAATAGCTTTGGCGGAAATGTTACTTCTGTTGCAGTTCTCACTTGGTATCTCATCAGATGGCACATGCTCAGAAGAAGTTCTTTCGGCGTTTGTTGGCTGTTTGAGCGATTCATGACCCAAGAGGATGGACTCATCGGATGTGAACTAGCAAATTAGGCGCCCCGTCATAAAACATCCGGTAATTTGCAATCCGTGGGAGTCCCACGGTGGGACTCCTTTTTTCTTTTCTTTTTTTTTAAATTCTAGAGTTGGAATGTTTGAACTCTTTGAGGCTCCAAAAGTTGATTGCAAAAACAACGCAAAGTATTCCAGGATATTCCTAACATGTCTTACTATTGCGCCCGGTTATGTTTTGGTGCTTAGCACATTCTTGTGGCCTTTTCAGTTGGTTAATTGATTAGTTAGGAAATATGACTAACACACCTTGCTTCGCCTCCAACCTATATGACTGATCACATACGAGACCGGTGAAGAGCGCCATCTATAATAGTACTTACTCGACTCGGGCTCTCAAATATCGCTGGGCTTCTGTATGAGCTCATAGCTTCCTTTGCAGCAACTCGTCAGCATACCGTAACGAATTGAAGAATTTCATGTCGCGTTCCTTGTTGTTGGTTTCCGGTGCTATAATTCTTATCGGAGACTGATAAGAGATGAGATAAATAAGAAACATCACTGGAAACCAATAGTGGCTTGGCTAATGGGCGTAAAGGGATGGTGATGTTGCGTGATGGACAATCTAGCGAATTCAAGGGCGTGAGTCGGGTAGGTTAACCAGTAGTACTCCATACCGATTTGGGAGGATAAGACCTATACTAATTGTGCGGAGCAAGGTGAGCTATGCCACTGTGGATTGTTTCTGTGTTATGTTTACAAAATATCAACTAACTGAGTCTTCAAAATTATTTTCTCCGACTATAAGAAGGTGCTAAGCACCAAAATATCGCCGAATGCAAAATCAAATCACTTTTGTGATTATCTTCAAATATGTTTTGTTTTTGCAACCTTTTTGAGCCCCACGGAGTTTCAGCGTTGAGGTCAAGGTAAACTTTTCTGCGACACAACCCTGATTTTTATATTGCTTTGGTTTAGGAATCATTTGTTCCGAAAGCGAGCGTGTTTCTCAAAGCCGGGTTCAATGAGGAAGTACCGAGTTTTCCGAAGGGTTAGGGTTTTACTGAACATTGATCTGCCTGTTCAGTTTGCTTTATAGCCTCATAACGTGTATTCAGACTGAAGCCTTGTTGTGCCTCGCGGGTATGATGAATAAAGGAGTGCTGCTGAAAGCACCAGTAGAGAAATCCATAATCAAAGGAATTGCAAAAGCGTCTTCTGAATATCTTCGGGCCTCGATAGCTGAACCCGAGACGGTTAGTCAGGTTTTCTCCATGTGTTTAGTTTTCTATCATTTCTTCATAGTAAAAAAAGGCTCGATTCTTCTTCGTAGGATATGTGTTGAACCACTTTTAGATCAAACCTCGGTTTTTCGCAAGCGTTTTGAGGCTGTTGCTGTCGACAGCTAACAGTATTGGAGATGATCTTAAGGTAATCACTAGCGAGGTGTCGTCCTCGCTACAAAACGACCAGTCAGATAAATTCGTTGTTACAGCCCACGTTGCAAAAGCACTTGAAATTGGATGCGGTGTTGGAAGACGAGCAAACATTGAGTCAAGTAAGCAAGAAGATCAATTCGGCTTGTCAGCAAGTGAGTTCCATTTATGGTAGATGGGAAAACGCGAACTGTGGAGTGCATGGCACTGGTAGATTTTCTGACTGATTTTTTAGTTACCCTATTCATCATGGGTAAATGTGTTCGCACAGATTCATATTCAGTACTTCTCTGACTTATTTGCTCGCAGGTTATGTAGTAGGAGATAGCATCGATGTTATTGTCTTTTCAACCACATATGATCTGTTGGTCATTTTCGTAAAGGGCTGTTGGTAGTGGTAGCTAATCTCGGACCACGGTCGGAATAGTCATAAGGAAAGCGCTGCGCAACAGATATTACGAAAATTTGGGGTGGTCGTTAAATCGCCTTAGAAAAATGTATGAACATGGAGCTTCCACTAAAAATGATATGCCACCGACTACGCGGCCGTCCTTAGCTTAACGGCAATAGTCTTTATAAGATGCTTACGTTAGCAGAGTGAAGCTAAGAATGAAAAAGTTGTCTCGTTGAGCTATGATAGGTAAAAGATGGTTTGGTTTCCTCAGGCTAACACGAATACCCATGGAAATTAAGAAGATAGTGCGGTGGCAGTTGGCTTGCGTTTACCACATGTTCAATAGGTGTGGAATGCGCAGCGCACCTCAAACAGCCATTTGTCAATGACAAACTTTCTAGAAGCCAGGAGGTTACTTATGATTTGATCATGGGCACCCTAATTTCCAAAATGTCTTATTTTATTCGCATAACTGAGACCTCTAAAGCAGAAATTAAATCTTTTATTAGATTGCTTTTGTCTGCCAGGGCGGAAGTGGTGTAGTGGCAAGTGGCACGCTTACCACGCGAGCGGTCCGGGGATCAAATCCTGGGTCGTGAGTCGCCCGGGCCAACCAAGCCTTCCATCCCTCCGGGGTCGGTTAATTGGTACCAGACTTGTCTGGGAGGATAAAAACACTGACTTGTACATCGGCTGGCCCCCGCAAGTCATTGTATAGGCCACATCGCATTCAAACGCCACTACGAATGTACAAATGGAAGTAGAATGCGTGCCGCATCCCAAAAAGGGATTGATCAACGGCAAATGCTTTATCCTTTATCCTTTTATATCCTCCTGCCTTAATTGATTCAAATCTCCTGTGGAATTGACAAGGTAAGCGTTATGAATTTTATGATATCAAGCAGGGTGATGCACCTACTCTAAGCTCCATTCTAAATTGGAGCGTCTTACTAGGCCCGTTGGGATGAACCCCATTTTAGTATGCACCAGCACTTGCACAGTCGGTTTTGGAATTTTTAGTTGACTCAGTGATTCCAAGCATTACCAGAGTTCATGGCGCATCCACGGTCACGGACCTCTTACCCTGTCAATGTTTTTTTTATTACACTTTGTCTCCTGAAAACAAGCAATCGTTCCAGGTATGTGGCAAGTCAGCGACACGTGTGCTCGACGCTATTCAAAAAGCCATGGCATAGTTGTTATATGTTGTTGATTTTGTGGTTACTGTTACTGTTGCAGTTCTCGTTGACATTTGTTGAATTTGTTGTTATTTTTGAATGACACAGAAGTGGAGTACCATTGTGTCCATAAAGAGTAAATCTAATGTCCTACAATGATGTCAAGCGCTCAATGTGCCATCAGTCACGTCACTCGATGCTTTTACTTTTCACTTTTTTCTGGCAAGTCCATTTGTGGTTAAGAATAATCAAAGAGTCTCCACGTTAACTATTAATTTACTCAGCTGTTGTGATAACTTTTACATGGCGATCTGCTGTGAAAAACAGCAATTAATAGTCAAAAACGAGGTAAATTAACCAAGCGCTGACTATTTTATTCATGAGCAATGTTATCCAGAGATGGTGGTGAAACAATTCCCTATCAGATACTTCTGGCACACCGCGTGCCGCATATCCGTTTTATGCAGAGAAGGGCGCATTTGTAACTCCTTGGACACACTCGATCGCACGAGTACCGCCGAAATTTATCGTTCTCGATTTGTCGGTAATGAAAGAAGGGCTTTGAGACTGTCGCAAAGACGGTACCACCACCACCACACCCCTCCCCCCTCTCCTTCTGCCTGGAAATCAATGTAAAGATTCGTCTCGAAGTCATGTGGAAGCAAGAGGTGTGAAGGGAAAAATTCTTATTCAAAAAAGAAAACGATACTACATCGTATGATCCTACTATTAACACATTGACGACAACGCGGGGGATATATATCCCGCGCATTGCAGGCCATGTCGGACCGTGCGGGATATATATCCCCCGCACCCATTACACTCATTTTTTTCGCGCACGCCTGATTCTTTTAGAAGTTTCTTGTATTTATTCCATGGAAGAGACCTTGACGTAGCTACAAACATAGTGGCCCATAGAATGGTCACGTATGCTTTAATTTAGAGGAGGATTTCTGAACCATACGAAATCTTCAGTTTAATAAATTTTTCGTTTGCTTTTTCTTTTTATGAACTCGCTAGAGGGTCAGCAGTGCTAATTTTCCCTCGTGCTGCTATCTCTTTGAATGCAGGAAAGGGAATAGGGTTGCAGTAGTCCTTTTATATCGTAGTTTTTAATAGTTTCGTGAAGATAATAGGGCTACCGTCCTCATTGACTAACCACAATGTTTTCTATTGTTTGTTTCTTTATAGGCGCGTCAACTGCACGCATGAATAAATAAAAAAAAAAATATAAATGGCCATAACTTCTTTCGCAGTTGGCAGTAAAAATTCCTGAGCGACCAAATGAACACATCGTTAGCAATTTCGTAGTTTATTGAATCATACTGGTATGTGTGTAGCTTCATTTAAATATGTATAGTGTTCAACGATGTCTGTCAAGTAGTGCTAGTCATCGGGTGCCAGCTCTTGCCACGGATCTCCGCTTACCCAGTTCACTGGCACAGCGTCTATGATTTTCACACGTGGTAGGATTTCTCGAACTCGATTACGGTAGAAATGTTGAGTGCTGAAAGTCATCCATTATTTTGTACTAGCACTGCCGAAGAGAAGTACTCTATTTAAAACGAGAAGAGCGTCGAGTGCAGACCACACACCACAAGTGACGACGGCCAAAAAAAAAAGCTTTTTTCTTGGCCGTCGTCACTTGTGGTGTGTGGTCTGCACTCGACGCTCTTCTCGTTTTCCGAAATAGGGGGTAGATCTTATTGGGTACTCTGATTGCTGCAGTATCATTGTATCATAGTATTTGAGATCGACACGGCCCATCCTCGCCCATCTTCCACCAAAGGCTGCAGCCAGGACTGGGGTGGCGGGGGTGGTGGTGGGGTTACTGTGGCTAAAGAAATGTCGAGTCTTCTAATTTTACCTCATTTCTGCTTCCTCCCTTTCTTGCAAAGTCGTCAAAGATTGCCTTCTCTCCGCACCCAGATCTCCATACATTATACCATATTTTTACATAAATAAATAAATATATTATATATATATAATATCCACGGATCTCTTTCACTGAGGGTCCTCTCTCACTGAAAGATCTCGAGCCGGTTGGTGGCGAGGCTACGTGGCGCGACCCCAGGTGGCGGATAGGGGGTAAATCGCGGACCAAAAGCCACCATGTACTTGCCCTGAGACGCAGGTGGATTCAGGGGATGGACTCCCTGTTTCTGTAGTGCTGTGTTGATTCATACCAGCTGTCTCCACTCAGGCGCATCCATGCATGCTTGCGTGTGTGGTGCGCTCTGTGTGTGTGCGGTTGGTATCCTGCATGTCGGCACAGCCAAAAGCTTGCATTCAAGTGACTGGGAAGTACATGGGAGGCGATTCGGGGCCGCCTCCAAGAAATAAGCCCCTTGTTCCGCTCCAGGATAGCGTGGCTAACTACCTGGAGGTCTATCCTAGCCCGCACGACAGAGCCTGGCAAGCTACTCGTGTGCCTTCAATATGCCGAAAACAGCAATATGGATGGGCCTCATTCCCCTGAACCTGAGGGAGCCCCCAATACGGCAGCGTTGGGTAGGACCGCTCGGGAGAGGCTGCTAGAATCTCAGGGCCCGGATAGGCTGCCTAAACGAAGAAGGACTAAGATGGCGATCTGTACTTTCAACGCACGAACGCTTGCATCCGAAGCTCACATCGAAGATCTGATGATGCAGGCCAGGAAGATCAAGTACGACGTCATCGGACTGACCGAGACGAGAAGGCACCGCCCGCTACACGCCGTTTTCGATACTGGAGAAGAACTGTTCCTTGGAACATGCGACAGCAGAGGCGTTGGCGGTGTGGGTGTCCTCGTCAACACGCACTTGGCCATAAACATCGATTCGTACGAAAGCCTTACGACCCGAATCGGACGTTTGAGATTGAGAAGATGTGGTTCAACTCCTGCTTTGACAATCTTCGTCGCCTACGCACCAACATCCAGCTACGACGAAGAAGAACACGAAGCATTTTATATGGAATTGGAGAAGTTCTACAGGGAAGATCATACCTTCTTCAAGGTCATCGTCGGCGACTTCAACGCTAAGATTGGCCCAAGAAGAACGGCTGAAGAACTTCACATCGGTACTCACGGAATGGAATGGAATGAGCAGGGTGAGAGACTGTCGGAGTTTATCATGTCGACCAACACCATCCATGGTAACTCGCAGTTCCAAAGCCCTCTCACCTTCGTTGGACTTGGGAGTCACCTGATGGACAGTTCCATAACGAGATAGACCACATCATCTTCAATCGAAGGTTTTGCCTGACCGACGTCGCTGTTGTTCCGAAGTTCTACACGGGATCGGACCATCGTCTCCTCCGCGCAAAGTTCCACTTTTCGATGCGTGTTGAGAGAGCCTCAAAGTTCAGGAAGCGAAGCCCCAGGACAGTCATCAACTGGGATCACTTCACTTCTCTTGTCAGCTTATGGGAGGATTCCGTTATCGAGAACATCGACGAGGAATATCATCGGCTCGTTGAACACCTTCACGAGAGTGGCAGGAAGGCAGAGAGTTTGCAAGTCACCAAAGGACGTCTGTCTACGGAAACTCTCGAGCTGATACGCCAACGTGGAGCCGCACGAGCTGCAGGCAATCACCAACTCACGTCCGAGCTTGCGAAGCTATGCAGAGAGGCGATAAAGGAAGATCTCAAGGAGCGAAGAGCAGCAGTATTAGCTGAAGCAGCAGAGGCTGGGAGGAGCATCCGCAATGCCCGCCGAAGCTTTGCCAGCTACAAGACCAAGATGACCTGCCCTCCGACGTCCGGATGGAACAGTTACTGCATCCCGAAAGGCAATGGAGAAAGTCATCCACGACTTCTACTCGGATCTCTTCGATAGCCATGTCCATCTGCCCACTTATCAACTGCAACAGGATGGATACGTCGTCCCCTCAGTACTCTCTTCCGAAGTCCGACACGCCATCAAGTCGGTGAAGAATCGTACAGCACCCGGTCTCGACAGGGTCAAACCGGAACATCTGAAGAATGCGCCGCCAGTCATCATCAAAACTCTGGCTCGACTCTTCACGCGCTACCTGTCGGAATGCAAGGTACCCACTCCGTGGAAAACCAGCAGGACCGTGTTGCTGTACAAGAAGGGAGACTTGGACGACATTGGCAACTATCGCCCAATCTGCCTGCTGTCTGTAATCTACAAGCTATTCACTCGAGTCATCCTTAACAGGATCGGCAGAATACTAGATGAAGGACAGCCATGCGAGCAAGCAGGGTTTCGAAGAGGGTTCAGCACGATCGACCATATCCACACGGTTACGAGACTCATTGAAGTTTCACGAGAGTACAAGATGCCGCTTTGTCTCACGTTCATCGACTTGAAGAAGGCCTTCGACTCTGTGGAGACAGAAGCGGTCATCGAAGCCTTGGGCAACCAGGGCGTCCCTACTCAGTACATCAAGATTCTTCGTGAGCTCTACAGCAACTTTACGACCAGAATCTCACCATTCTACAAGGAGGTCATCATCGACGTCAAGAGAGGGGTTCGACAGGGCGACACCATCTCGCCCAAACTCTTCAGCGCCGCTCTCGAGAACGTCATGCGTCAACTGGAATGGGAAGACATGGGAGTGAAGGTCGACGGCCGGCAACTACACCACCTTCGTTTTGCTGACGACATCGTTCTTATAACGCCGAACATCGAGCAAGCGGAGCGAATGCTGGCTGATTTCGACTGCGCCTGTGGTAAGGTTGGTCTACAGCTGAACCTAACGAAGACGATGTTTATGAGAAACGGATTGGTTCCTGATGCCCCATTCACGCTCAACGGAACGAACATCACCGAATGCTCCAGCTACGTGTACCTAGGTCGGGAAATCAATATGATGAACGATCTAGCTCCAGAGCTGAGCAGGAGGAAACGAGCGGCTTGGGGAGCGTATAAGAACATCGAGGGAGTAGTGAAGAAGACGAAGAACATCCGGCTCCGTGCCCACCTCTTCGATTCCGCTGTCCTTCCTGCCCTAACCTACGCCTCAGAGACTTGGACTCTGCGCAGGCAGGACGAGCATGCGGTCAGCGTTATCCAACGCGCTGTCGAGAGGACGATGCTAGGAGTAACCCTATACACGCAAGTGCAGAGGGGAATCCGGAGTGCCGAACTACGCCAACGATCGAAGATCAGGGACGCTGCCGTTTTCGCCAAGGAATCGAAGATAAGGTGGGCCGGACACGTCATGCGATTTTGCGATGACCGTTGGACCAGAGCGGTTACCGACTGGATCCCTCGGGACGTCAAACGAACACCTGGACGACCGCCGGCCCGATGGTCAGACTTCTTCACGAAAGCTCTGAACGAAAGGAATGAAGGACATCGTGTCCCTCGAGCGAGGAGGGTCCACTGGACAACTCTTGCACGCGACAGGGACGAATGGAGACGTTGCTGGCGCCCGCTCGAGCAATTCGATGATCAACGGGACGACAGGTGATACAGGTGATATATCCAAAACTGAGAACTGCACAACGCGGGTTGGCTCTGCATGTGTGTTCTCAATGGCGTTGAGCAGGTAACCATTCCATAATTGTTCGCTTTATTAGGACCAACGACTATGACTATGGGCAGTAAGATGTCGGTTAGGAGGTCCACGTGGCGCTGTCTGAGCGGTCTAGCTTCATAGGCAGTGAGTGACCTACGCCCACGCCGCAGCGCGCGACGTCATTCGCTACGCTGCCTTGACGCATCGCTGCAAAGTGGACTTTTTGACCGACTCTAAGCAGCCCGTTAATCTAACCATTTCCAGCAACAGAAAAACAAGGGGAAGGACGCCGTCGACACTGTCCTACACCGCATGTTTTTATTGCCTGTTATTCCCCCGTACTCCCATAATTCGACATAGAAGTAGAACCCGCGGGTTCCTCCAACATGTTCAACCGGTTCTATTTTATTCTGGGAAGTGTTTAGGTGCGAGTAAAAAGACAATGATAAAACACCGACCTATATATAGGATTCATTTCCAAGGTAACGTCTCTCAAGGCTGGGAGACGATTCAAGTAGGCGACTTCTGACCAATTTGAGATCTGCAAGAAATGTCTATGACTTCTATGAATATTGATTTGTTTTTGTAGAACGTCTCACCCGATTTCTACGTATCCATAAACTCTTCAGATTGGTGAGATGTTGGAGGTTTTCAATCTTTTCAATTTGATTATCGTTGAGGTCCAGCGCGATAAGAGCCACATTGTTGACAAGGCTTAAATCAATGACAAATATTGATTGAGGAATGTTTGGGAGGATTTACCCCGAGACCGTCAGTATGATTACACGGCAGGAGAATTGGTATAAGGCAGGATGACCTGCAGGGGTAGATCTCTGAATTCAGGTTGGGTACCACTACGGGGACGAGACTCTTCAGGCGACAGTGCTCACAATGGCTGGAAGACGGTAAGGTTTCGTTGGCGTTACTGAACATCATTTATGAACTAAACCCCTCAGCGCACCGGCTGTGTGGTGACCGCCTATCATCGCGCTTCCACCAATGACGTCCAATGACGTCATCGAAGCCGCACCGCCCCCTTGCCGTCGTGATCACTGTCTTTAAGGCATACCCCACTGACTTATCTAATCCAGAAAAGCCAGCAGTATTTGTTTCAATGTTCTACTTTAGCAGACATCATGGAACTTTTTCTTTCTGAATTAATTTCTGTTTTTTTTCTCGAATATTATATCATTCTCTCAATGGGACACCGATTATGTAAGGTAGTTGGATGAATCGTCTTAACCTTTGTAAGTTGTAGGTCTATAGAGAGGATCTGGACGGCCACACCTAGGGATTACCGCACGCGGGACGGTGCGGTAGCCGCATAGCGGTGGCGGCGCATCGACCCACATATTTGGAGCCTCAATCAGCTGTGTCCAATTACCTCATTCCGTAGATAATGGTTCGGGTCTCATCCAGTCAGAGGGGGGCAGGCGGTGCGACAATTCATGTCGCCTGAAATTTCCGCATCGCATAAGGATCTCCAGGATGGGTGTGAAAGCGGGAACGAAATGATTACAGGGGTTCCTCTAACTGCAAAAATGGGGATTTCTGCCAGCGGCAGCAACTATCGCACCAATGTCCCCCTCACAGGGTGAAGCCCCATAGTTTTACTTGTCCGGGTTATCCTTGACCCTAACCAGCCTGTCCTGTAATCATGCAAGACAGCACTCGATGAAAACCCTTGTTGATCACCCTGCAATGCGGGTAATCCCGTTTTGTGAGAGGGCAAGATCCGTGAGATTTGTCAAACGATCGAGTCCTTCGATAATTCGGATAGCGTTACCGATGAAGCTCAACACAGTCAGTTCACGTAGCGCTGATAGACCTGAAATAGAGCAACATTATCACAACGTTTCTTTGGCCGTACATAACAAACTACTAATACTTTTTCAGTATTTTTATTGGCTCTGTCGCAATATACAGGGCATCCCTCTAGGACAGAGTCAACCCTGCGTTGCGCAGTTCGCAACGGCACGTTGAGAGATCCTCAACGCACGCTGTATGGGCGGAGACGCAGACGGCTCGAGCATGCGAGTGTGAATGTTCGCGCGAGAGAACGTGTCTAATCGGGCGAAACTGCGCAACGTGGCCGTTGAGAACTGCGCAACGCAGGGTTGACTCTGCTTTAGGATAGGCCGAGTAGGGAGCAGGAACTTGGGTGAAAGAAAATGGTTCACGCACTCTGGATTCTCTCCTCTCCGCCTAAGGTTAGTCATTTTGGCGCAATGTGGCTCGGGGGGGGGGGGGGGGGCACCTCGCAACATCGCGTCAAAATCACGGAAACGCTCCGTTTTAGGACTAAGCTTTTGAAGAGGAGAGGAACTCCGGTGTACGGAAGCAATTTTCGTATTCTCCGGAGTTCGTCCCTGCTGTTTAGGCTTAGTCCTAGATGACTTTTCTCAGAGTGCCCCCCCCCCGAGCCACATTGCGCCGTCATTTTTCATTAAAAAGAACAAGCTTTATCTGGACGCATTGACACCACTATTCCCCCTCATCTTGCGATAGCGCCTTTTTATTCAGTACCACAATTTTTATCACTTTCAATGTCGCTTGTGTCGTTAGAGAGGACACTCAAGGGAGTGAGCCACTTACAGAAGTTGGGACTCTTTCAGGGAAGCGACTCAGGGGAAGGACCAAAGCAAGCATGATTTCCCTAGCGTTTCTCCACTCTACTGGCGGGGTCCTATACGAGCGTTTTTTGAATGCCCTGTTTTAAGTATCCTCCCAAATTACCCCCTAAGACATGAGTGCCCTTTTAATTATCAACATCTGATCCCCGTCAATTTATCGTGACGATGCGGTCATGATAGATTCATACCTTCTATTTTTGTGATCTGATTCGCACCAAGGAAGAGCTTCTTCAGGTTTACTAGCGACTCCAGATTCTCTATCTTTCGTAAGCGATTATCTGCGAGTTCCAAAAACTCAAGTGATTTCAGCTGAAAATTCCGTTCTACCAATAGACAGACCAATCAGTTCAAAATCAGACTACACTAACATTCTCTAGTCCTTCGATTTTCGTGAGTTTATTTCTAGTTAAATAAAGTTCTTTGAGATTTTGTAATGAGTCCAATCCTTCGATTTTGGATATTCTGTTGTAGGAAAGATCCAATACAATCAGATTCGGCAAGTCGGAAAGGTTTTCGATTTTTGTTATCTGAAACACAACAAAATCTCTAATAAAGGCGAAATTGTGGACTGTTCTTTGAATTAGCAACGGCTGCGAGCGGAAGCAATACGGTCTGTTGGTACGTTACAGCAAAAGGGTGGGGGTGGGAAAAAAGCTTTTTGGCAATTAACACCCATGCTTGTTAAAT